AAAAACTATAGAGGGATATCGGTCACAAGTTCAATGAGTCGACTATACGGTCGAATACTACGGGACCTGATAGAGGAAGATACTCAATCGTCTGAAGACAAAGAACAGGGAGGATTTAGAGCAGGCCGTTCATGTACAGATAACATCTTCTGTCTTAAACAAATTATAGAAAAAAAAATTGTGACAAATAGAGAGTTACATATGACTTTTGTAGATTTTAAGAAGGCATATGACACAGTCCCGCTAAATAAACTATGGGAAGTCCTGGGCACATCAAACATACATCAAACGTTGGTAAGTGCTCTCAAAGATCTATATTATGGTTCAAACTCCCAAATGAAATTCGGAAACCTCTTAGCTGAAAAATTTGCAGTTACTAAGGGTCTCAGACAAGGATATTGTATCTCTCCGACTCTATTTAAGATTTATATCTCTGCAGCTCTGAAACAATGGAAAAGGAAAGTCAAAGGAATGGGTATATAATTGAACGATCAGGATTACATATATACTTTACAGTTTGCAGATGATCAGGTGGTGATCTCAAATGACAAAGACGACATGGAATACATGCTTAGAAAAACTAATTGAAGAATACCAGAAATGGGGATTAAATATCAATTTGGAAAAGACAAAATACCTCTCAATTGGAGCTGAAGCAGAACAACTCGATATCGATGACAATCAAAAAATAAATCCATGTGACGAATATAAATACCTGGGCGTCATCTTCGACCGTAGTGGAAAATACGAACGAAAAATAGAACATCGAATTGTACAAGCACGAAGAGCTATAGCATGTTTGAACGAAGTTCTATGGAGTAAAGAAATATCAAAGAAAAGAAAATAAAACATCTATGAGACAATGGTTAAAACTAGCCTACTTTATGGAGCTGAGACATGGAGAATAACCGAGAAATATAAGAAAAAGGTCGAAGCCACGGAAATGGATGCCATCAGAAGATCGATGAGAATATCAAGAGCCGACAGAATACGGAATGAAGTGATAAAACAACAAATGGGTATAGAGGGCACTATAGTTGAGGATATTGAGAGAAAACAGCTCATATGGTATGGACATGTGAGCCGAATGGGGGACGAAAGATTGCCTAACAAAACGATGATGTGGCAACCCCCAGAGAAAAGGAAACGAGGAAGACCACCACAGAGCTGGAACCTGGGAGTTAAGAAAGCGATTAGCGCTCGAAATCTGGACGAAGACCTAACTCAAGACAGAATACAGTGGCGTTTGGGAGTCGGACAACGTCGTGAGACGTTACAAAACCGAAATATATATATATATATATATTATTATATATATATATAATATATATATATATATATATATCAATGAACTTGATAAAATATTTTTCTGTCGAAAACTAGCGCTCAAAATTATTATAAAAATGACATTTGGAGCATCTTGAATAGATCAGATACAAACTGAATGTATGAACTATAATGGAGCTTTAACATTATAGTCCGGCACCAAAGTACCTTTCTGTATGCATGGAAGGGTAACTAGTTGAAAACTAAGTTATCTTATGTAAAATGTTTCGCTGAATACGAATATGTAGGTCCTCCATCTCAAAAAGTGGTAGGTACCAATTTGTATAATTTACTATTTTTGTTGGAAATAAGCCACAATTTTACTTGAAATTTAAGTTTATTTGACGTTTCAATTTAAATTACTATTTAAACTGGGAATAAGCCACAATTAAAGGTTAAAATACGTTTATTGACGTTTCAATTTCCACTTCGGAAATCGTTCTCAAAATACAAAACAATAATAAATTAAACAAAATTTGTTTTTATTGCTTAATAAGAAATTCTTCTAATAATTTAATTCTATTTGACTCATTCATATTGACAATTTAGACATATATTGTACATTTTCAAGTAGACGACTTTATAATGATATTGCCAATATTACTAAGTTGCGTTTTTGGGACGACTTTATTGTAAGATAGTTCATTCGAGTACATGAAGCCAACTTTAAGTTAAGAATATTCGTCAGAAAAATCATAACATGTAATTCAATGTGTATTCAATTATCAATTACTAAAATCTTAGATAGACTTATTTACTGTTGTATTTTTATTACTAGGAATTGTTGATCGGCAGGCAACGTGGACTTAATTTGTAGAAGTCAACTACGGGAAATTTATTGGAATTTCAATAAAGTCTATTGAGTGCCTCAGAGAAGGGATGTCAGATAGATGTCACATACACCGACTTCGGCAAGGTCTCTGATAAAGTAAATCACAACGTCTTGCTGGAAAAGATGGGTCTTTTTGGCTTGTTTCGTTATATAGTGACTTGATTTGATTAGTTTCTTATCAGACCAAATTTAAGAGTTCCCCATTAATTTTTAACATTTTCTTTAATGATATTGCATCCTACTTATTTCAAAAGTAGTGACATTTTTGTGTTTTCAGATGATTTAAAATTTTTTTAAAGAAATTTCTTCTCAAGATGATCAGATTCCATTACCGAATGACTTAAACAATCTTATTGGGTGATTTTTGTAATGGGGTTGAGGCCGTAAAAATAAATAAATAAATATATTATGCTTATTTAATATTTACCAAGCTTCTCAATTTTTACTAATTTTATCGTGAGTGAGTTAAGTGCAGTATGGTGGAAATGAAAGGAATAAATTCATTATTTCGTAAATCGGAGACTTTAAGGAAAAATCCTGAAACCAGTCGATTTTTATTTTTAAATAGGCTATTCGTAAGAATACATTTTTATTGCGTGATGACGTCATTGCTAAAATTTTTGAATAGAAAGTGGGGTATTGTAATACATCATTTGAAAGGTCTTTTAAATACCTATTCAGCTATATCAGTATGTCTAAGTTATTAAAGTTTGTAATTGTTTAAAAAAATAATTAAATATTTATTATTACAATAAAATATTTATTAAGTATTATTCAATAAATACAACGAAACCTAAATTAAGTGTTCAAATTGTTTACCTTCAGCTAAAATACAATAACAAAGGCATGCCGCGAACTCTTCTCTAACATTCTCTAAAACTTCCGGAGTTATTTGAACAATCTCATTACATATTCTTTCTTTCAGTTCATTAATATTTTGTGGTCTATTTTGATATACCTTACTTTTTAAATATCCCCATAAAAAGAAATCAAGAGGAGTCAAATCAGGTGACCTAGGCGGTGCATTCTATTGTTCCTCTTCGACCTATCCACCGATTTGGAAAGACGTTGTTTAAGTAGTTGCGTACCAAGACAGCATAGTGTGGAGGCGCACCATCTTGCTGTAGCCACAAATCATTTCTGTTTGGAAACAACCGGTTCAATTCTGGAAGCAAGAAATTTTGAAGAAATTTTAAATATCGAGGAGCTGTTAAGTTTTCTTTAAAAAAAGTATGGTCCAATACACCTATTATCGATTATTCCTACCCAAACGTTAATTTTCTCTGGGTATTGAGTACGGTACTCTTGCATCCAGTGTGGATTTTCCGTAGCCCAGTGCCGATAAGTTTGACGATTGACATGACCGTTTAGTAGAAATGTAGCTTCATCAGAGAAACTATTCTTTTTTAAAAACATCGGATCTCTGTTATTTCGTTCCATTATAATGTCAGAAAATTCAATTCGTCTATCAAAATCATCTTCCATAAGTTCTTGTACTAAACTTACTTTGTAGGTATGCCACTTTTCCTTCTTTAGCTGTTTAAGAACTGTTGAATGGTCCACGTCATTATCTAATGCTACTTGCCGTGAACTGTTATGAATATTATCTTGAAAAGCTAACAGAACGTCTACTTGTTGGTTTTCAGATATTGGTTTTCTACTACCTTTAAGAAGGTCTTTAACATGACCCGTTTCTCTAAATTTTTTCTCAATTTTGCTTACAGTGGATTGTGAAATTGGTTCTCGACGTAGGTATTTATTATTAAATAACGCACATACTTCTTTCTGCGTACGTGTTTTATCTCCATAACCAATCATTATGAGAATTTCAATTCTTTGCGTTTCAGTTAGCTTCATGTTCAAAGATATAAAGACTTTTTGAATACGTTTACTACAATAATACTATTAATCACTTGACAGAAAGATAATTAAGTTTGAATGTCCAACTATCAATGTTCATATTGATAAGGTAACTAGTTTTTTTTAAAAAGGTAACAAGTAATAAAAAAGACATTTCTTTACCAGTGATGGCCTTTATAAAATTTAATTTTTTGTGTCAATAATACATCATATCAATACTTAATAAATATTTATTGTAATAATAAATATTTAATAATTTTTTTAAACAATTACAAACATCAAATACTCAGACATATTGATATTGCTAAATAGGTATTTAAAAGACCTTTCAAATGATGTATTACAATACCCCCCTTTCTATTTAAAAAATTTAGCAATGACGTCATTACGCTCACATAGATGACGTCAAAAATAAAAATGTATTCTTACGAATAGCTTATTTAAAAATAAAAATCGACGGGTTTCAGGATTTTTCCTTAAAGTCTCTGGTTTACGAAATAACGAATTTATTCCTTTCATTTCCACCATACTGTATATTACATGTGCTGTAAACTTTTCTTCGATTCTTCGATTTTATAGCCTCCCATTTTAGGTGTTAATCTGTTGGTTAATATATTACTTAGCATTATCTTTAATTTGTAGGTCCTCCGGGGGTTAGTATAGAAGATGCTTATGTTCAGTTATTTCCAGTTAACAAACAGAAATGTCAAGAGATAAATCCTATAAGAGACATAACATTTTATTTATTTACAAGGTAAAGTATAAATTAGGCTAAAAGCGTGATTGTTTGTTATCCTCAATTTATACAAATTCAGGAAATACGATTAAAAATTTACTACAAATTTGTTATATTTATAAATTATTTTTTTAACGAAAACTAATTTTCTCTACAACAACGGTATTCGTTAAAAGATAGTATATAAAATTCATCAATAGATAATATCATCAGATTATCAGAATTATCAACAGATAATTCATTTGAATGTTAGTTAGTCCATTTTGGTTTTACGAGTTATTCACTACAAAGTTTGGGTAAGATTAAAATTAAAACATTGGTAATTTTCTGTAAAAAATATGCTTTATTAATGTTAAATTACAAAAATGTAATAACATAAATCACAGTACTAAAAAAAGATCAATGTGTTCTTCCAGACATTGTATAATACACTATTTATAACACTATAAACATTAAACCGGTAAACATTAAATAAAACGGAAAAATTCCTATTACAATTCAGTTTCTAAAATTTCAAGTAACTGTCGTCCCAATGCATGTCCAGAACACGTCAGATTTTCGTAGGCAAAAGGGTGTACCGAAGGAACTAAAGAAAGTAACTGAAGAAGGTCTTATTTTATTTTTTCAAATTACTAATCAAATTACAACTTGATTAAAGTAGTTTTAATTCAAACTTTTATGACTGCCGTTAATAATTTTAATTGAAATTTCTTAAGGAGTTAATTTGACTTTTCTTATTTAAGTAGTCCAAAGGTATCTTTTGTTTGATTTCCCCATTAAGACTATTAGAAAACTTATCAGATACATACATTTAGAACACCTAGGAATTACGTCACCTGAGAGAATGTTAATGTTCAGATGAGGAGTGGAAAATGTTCCTATTTTGGTTGTTACATATATATAGAGATAATAAACTATCTGTTGTATTGTTTTCACAATAACAACCCATAGAAATGGATAACTATCCGGATTCTGTAAAAACTTCGGCTTACCTGCCAATACCATTTTTGGCAGTGTACCTACCTGTATACTTATATACAAACAATTTATATCATGATCAAATATTTATTTTTCCAACAGCCAATAAATATGCTTGTTTCATTTTTTATACGAGAGGTGAAAGGGTTTGACTTGCTGGTTTGAGACTTGTTGTATTTTTGTAGTGTTGTAATTGATCTAGATTGTTGACAGTCATTGAAATATCTGCAATATTTTTTACATGCTTTAGTTATTTACTAGGTGAAGTGATAAGTGGGTTTAGATTATTATCTTATTTAACAGTACATGGGTAATATGTGAAGTTATAAAAATTTTATATTTTCATTAATTTTTAATATGAATGTATAAATTTTATTTTTATCGAACTATTATGTAAATCCAATTAGTATAACTGTTGTATTATATACACTGCACTTGTTGTTTGACAGTTCACTAAAGGATCAAAAATACAATACTAATCATGTAAGGTAAGTGATCCAAATACTGCCACCCTAAGGTTTGGTTCTAAATAATCTTTTATTAATAAAAAAAAATTTTGGGCAGTGGTAAAGAAATGTATTTTTCCGCAAATCGCCAGGAAATTTTGACATTCCTGTCAAAATTTCTTGAAGAAAAAGTCAGAACTTCCTTACTGTAAGGAAATGTCATTTCCTTACTGTAAGGAAATGATATTTCCGTACAGTTGTTAGTGTTCTACATAAATGATAGAAAAGTTTGACAATTCAACCTCAATACGTTTCCATAGTAACCCAAGTAATTTTATTAGGAATTTCAAAGCACCATTTATTTGGGAATAAAATTATCGCGTTTTTTTTTAAATCAATCAATATCTGTCGAATTTTAAACGATTTGCGGAAAAATAGTATGTTTACCTCGTAGGAAAAGCCACATTCTGGACTCTGTGTTGCTAAGTCTCGGCTTGCGCCTCGACTTAGCAATCTTCACAGTCGTCCAGGAATGTTAAGCTTTTCCTACCCGGTAAACAATGTACTATTTCCGCAAATCGCCAGGAAATTTTGATATTCCTGTCAAAATTTCTTGAAGAAAAAGTCAGGACTTCCTTACTGTAAGGAAATGATATTTCCGTACAGTTGTTAGTGTTCTACATAAATGATAGAAAACACATTGCTTATGAGGAATTAATTTATATTTTGAAAACATCAAGTCACTGCTGAATACATTTTTAAGATCAATTTGTTATATTTACAGTAATTTGACAGTTAGTACAATTATTGAACATTGGAGGAACACTCTTAGAACTATGAGAAACATTTTGGACAACATGCAGGGTGGAAGTGTCATTTTGTTGAATATTTTGTACTGTGAAAATTTTATTTGCCACCTCAACCTTATTGTTAAGCGATTCTTCGATATATCCTTCAGCAACGTTTGATGACTTCCATCCGCCATGACTCTTTAAACTAGTTATGTCGGCACCAGAGTCAACCAATATTGTTGCAGAAGACCGACGAAAGCAGTGACCAGTATATTCTGTCGGATTTACCAAGTTCAAATAAGTAGCAATTATTTTGGGCATTTTTCTAAATTAATGAATTCCTACCACTTGTCTACAACCCTTTCCGTTTTGATGTTTAAAGAACTCACAATCAATTTAATTTAACAATCTGACGACCGGTTTCGCTTTCTACAATTTGCAAAGCATCTTCAGGTCTAGATACAAAGTTAAACTAATGCTGCAATAAAATAAACCCAATTAGGGTGGTGTCTAATAAAGATAAAATAAACAAATAAGTTAGTTCATACAAATTATAGTAATTATGCCAATATTACATGTCTGTGGTTTTCAAAATGAATAAATTTGAATATATATAAAAGGTATTAACAGACAAGGTAAGACCCACAATTGGTATAAAGTAGTAATATTATATTGTAATAAATTAATAAATGAGCAGATAAATAAAACAAAACAAACATTACTTACATGCCGGTACCTACTCTATTAATTGATGGATGGTAGGTCATGGTTGCAAAAATCATGTATTGTTGATTGGAGAACTTTAATGTGCTATTGCAGTTGTTTTGACAATAAACGGGAAGTTCTTGAGGAAAGTTCTTCCTCAAGAACTTTCCGTTTATTAATTATTAATAAATTAAATTGATTGTGAGTAAGTCTTATTATTATTTCTTTACCTATTTGATATGGACTTACACAAGCAACACATTCATGATTTAAAGAATACTTTCTTATTGACGTTGCGAAAGACAATGTTAGGATTCGTTACAGATCTCCTATTATTGTCCTCCATTTTAATATTAGGCATTGCAGATCATTTTTATGAAAAAATAGATGCAATTAAGTAGTATAAACGTGAAAAACATTACTGAATATCTTAACATATCTGAAAAGCAAACTTTTCTTTGTCATTTTTAGTCAATCCTACATAGGCCTCGTGAACATAAGGATAGCACAATATGCACAAGCGCATATTTTCTTTACTGCAGATGTTATAAAGAAAACAAAACCACGATTATTCATTACTTGATTTCTTTGTCGTACTGCTCGTTGTTTTTTTAACAACTTTAATTGGATTATTCAATTTTGGTATTAGTGCGAACAAATCTTTGGTGACTTGCTGGGCTTACAAAGAAAACAATACCACGATTGTCATCTTCAGAGCTGCTGCTCCTCTTAGATCTTTTCACACGTTCATCTTCTCTAGAAACTTTGTCAAATGAATTATCCTGAAGACTAAAATCTAATAATGATTGGCTACTTGAGACAGTACTTAACCGCTTCTTTTTTTTTTGTCATTAGTTTTCTCTGGAACTTGATATCCGCTTGTATTAGGCTCATTTTTATATGCGGGTTCAATCGACTCGCAAGAACTTCTAACGACAACTGATAAATCTTGGGAGCTACTATCGTTTACTTCGTCTTCTTCTCTGTTAGTGGTCAAACTTGGTGTAAAGTCAGAGACTTCTTGGTCCCAAAATGTCTCAAAGCTTTTAAACACTATCCACAAGGAAAACAATTCCTGTAGCTGGCTGTATACGACGTATCACAAATACGAGGTTAGTCTTCATAAATGGGTATATTTATTTAAAAAACTCTTAAAAGGGCTACATCAAAAAAACAAACGTTTTCGGACTAAACAGTCCATCATCAGGTTTAAAATTGCCTAAAATAATTATAAACCGTTTAGTTAAAGGAAACGTGGTTATTTTTAAATTTTGAGTAGGGTTAAGAAGCAAAAATGGTTATAATTACTAGGTTAAAATGCCTGAACCACCAAAATACCAGGGTAAAAACCCTTTAAATTACATGTAGTTATTAAAGATTGTACATATTGTTGTTATTAAAATGTGATGTTCAATATTAAATTGAATTTGACTTCAGGTAACATGCTTGAAGTGAGTTCCAGTGTCCGGAGAGTAAACCTCTTCAAACGGACTACAGCTGGTAACTGATTGACAAGATACCTATGAACGGTGTCGAAAACAAAATGTCAATGTAACATGAAACTATATTAGTTATACATAGTATTACTGCAGCCAAAAGATTCAAAATTTTTTTTCAATGATAATATTATTTTTATATGTTATATGTTATTATTTTTAATATTCATTATGGGTCAAACATTATGGCTGGATAATCCGCCACAGGTGATCAACGAAAAGATAATTTCCGCAGTCCAAGGTTCATTCGCTTGGAACTGTAATTTGTAAAGGATTCTATGAATCCATTAGATTATTTGTATTATAGTATTTAAGCAAAAGGTAGTTCACACTAATCTAAATATGAGAATTAGTGTAAGTTGTATATGTTAAAATGAGTTGAGTAAAAATATTGAATTATTGCATTTAATTATTGATTTATTTCTATTTTATATATATTTTAATTATTATACACTTATATAGTGAAAAGATCAGAAAGCCTAATTCTGCAAAATTAACGCATGATATATATATATATATATATATATATATATATATATATATATATATATATATATATATTATATATATATATATATATGTATATATATATAAATATATATAATAAAAACTTTCCTTTTTAGGCACAACCCGTTGCAACCCTCCCAGCTACGCATTGGTGATGACGGAGCCCTTTCCCAATCCTATTTTAACTTTTCCGAGCCCACAGTTATATTTTTTCATGCATTTTTTGAGTCGTATCAGTCAACTCCTGGTAGATTAATTAGAACTGGTAAGTATATTGACCTTATGCACTAGAATAATAAAATAATTTACGACACATAATAATATAATATCTTAAAAAACCCAAGAGGTTTTATAAAATTAGCATATTAGCATACAAGCATTAGCAATTATAACTATTCTGCTTATCTGTACCTGTACTATCATGTTCTTCGATAGTTCTTCTTCTTTAACTGCCGTATCCGTCAGTGGAGATTAGTTACTATTTCGGGGAAAATTTTACAAGTTTGGCAAGATTTCTAGCTTACAGATAACCTCGTCGTTTAGTTAAAGTTTTTCTACCGTATTAAAAGGTGGTTGTTTAATTACCAGTCATATTCTTCTTCTCATGGCGCCGTCTCCTTCCGAAGGTTGGCGATACAAATGGCAATTGTAGTTGTGGAAACTGCTGCGCGAAAGAATTCTGAGGATGAGCGGTTGAACCATCTCCTCAGGTCTTTCAGCCACGAGTTCTGGCGTCTTCCTACTGATGTTTTGCCCTGTACTTTCCTTTCAGTATAACTTGAAGTAGTTCATATCTTTCGCCTCTCAGCACATGACCCAAGTATTTCATTTTCTTCTCTTTGATTTTTCTTAGTAACAATTTTTGTTTACACTGTGACGAAGTACCTCAATATTAGTAACTCTTTCTACCCATGGAATTCTCAACATCTGTATATATACATCTCAAAAGCATCTATTCTTTTATTCTTTTATTCGTGTCTTTGAAAATACTAAAGTTTTAGTTTTGGAAACGTTTAGATGTAAACCGAACATTTCGCTGTGGTGAACTACCGTATTTATTATATTTTACAGTTCTTGTGCGTTGCTTGCCATTAAGACGGTATCATCAGCATATCTGATATTGTCTATGCTGATTCCTTTAATCTTAATTCCACCTTAGACCTCGTTTAATGCTTCTCTGAATATAGTCGAATACAAATTAAACAGTACCGGTGATAAGACGCAACCCTGTCTCACTCCTCTTCGGGTTTGTATATCTTCGAATGTTGTGTGCTCTATTTCAGTTGTTGCCGTTTGATGCCAGTATAGTTCTGAGATAATTCGCAAGTCTTGTTCGTCAACTCCAGTTGTTCTCAGAATTTCGATCATCTTTTAATGGTTACCGCAGTCAAATGCTTTTCGATAGTTATCGGAGAGCATATTGGAGATAGCACACTACAAATACAAGCTTAAAATCGGTGAAGAATATGCCAAGAGGTCTAATCTATGAAAAAGAAGAAAAGAAGAAGTAAAGTTCTTGTACAAAAGATTTTTACTTTATTTTGATGAGAAAATGAAAGAATATAGAACAAAATAAAAATAATATATAATCAGAATTGACATTAGTCGACGAAATAAACACATATTAAATTAGAAACTGAAAACAAGAAGAAGCATAGGACACCCCTTGAAAAGAAATAGTGAAGTCTAATACCATGGAACAAAAAATAAATCCCTTAAACCTAGAATGAAGAAGATGAAAATATATACAATACTATTTCGCACAATATAATATCTACTGTTCAGTGAAACTCTATAAAATCTTTTATTGAAAACAGCATGAAAGTGCATTATTCGTATAAAAATAAAGTCCAATTAACTCTCTTTGGAAATGTGCTTTCACTGATATTTGTTCCTATAATAACAATAATTTTATATACTTACCAGAAAAACGTACAACAATATGAATATATTTCTCTATCCAACTAATTTAATTCACACCATATAAGTTCAAGAAGGACGATTAAGTAGCAACATAATGATTATTGTATAACAGCTAATAAAATACGAGATTCATTATCATTCTATTCCACTTTTAAAATGATGATCAGTTTCTCTGCATAGGTACATAATGTTTCTATAATTTATTGTTTTCAATATTCATTATTTTTATTATATTATATTACTATTTTATCATTAAAATTTTTATGGGTCATACTCCTGATATTACTGGCATAGGTACTGTTTAAATTCGTCTTGTTTTTTACTTTAATTATAAATATTGAATGCACGTCTTTTCAAAATTTTAAATGTTATAATAGTTTTTGAGTTTATTTTTTGTAGATATAGGCATATAACGGCTAGTAAACATGCATTGAAGATATCCTTAATTTTAATTTAAGTTAATTTTTCAATAATAATAACCAAACAATTATTAACCATTTAAACTACGAGTAAATGAATATATTTTGTCTTTTAGGGGATAAAATCACTAGCAATTAAAAAAGAATAAAACATTAATTTAAAATGTTTTAATTTCGTAAATAATTTCAATGAATTATTGATTAATTTTATAAATACCTCCGATAAAAACAAAAACAAAATCCTTGAAATACAGTAAAAAATAAGTTTAAGTTTTAATCAAACAATAACATAACCTTTAAAATATGAACATTCATAGTAAATATCTTAATCCTTGGTTATTCTTACCTCACAAATTCGCTAACAACAAATAATGCGGTTTTTAATCATTCATTTTATAATAATCTCTATAAACTTGTGATCGTCTCTGATCATGAAGAAATAAAAAATTGGTGCTTGGTAAGGGTATTATCAACGCTATCATGATTATCACACCGATGAAAGTCTTTGGATCTGAAAAAATCAGATGTCCAAAAATCAGTGTTTTTGGACATCTTCTTCAGGTGCCATCTCCGCTACGGTGGTTGGCAATCATCATAGCTATTTTAATTTTTGAGGCAGTAGCTCTAAATAGTTGTTTTGAGCTGCATCCAAACCATTCTCTCAGGTTCTTAGGCCATGAAACTCGTCTTCTTCCGATGCTTCTTCTGCCATCTATATTTCCTTACATTATGAGTCACAGGATGCCATAGTTCTCGCCCCGCATCACATGTCCGAGATACTGTAGCTTTATTTCTTTAATTGTAAGTTTAACTTCCTTCTCTTTACCTATTCTTCTCAGTACTTCATTGTTCGTAACTCTATCTACCCAGGAAACCCTCATAATTCTTCTATAGGTCCACATTTCAAAGGCGTTAAGTCGTTTCATTGTGTCTAGATTTAACGTCCATGATTCCACTCCATAGTATAATACACTGTATATGTAACATTTTGTTGGACGTACTTTAAGAGCTAATGTTAAATCTTTGCCACATACGATCTTTTTCATTTTCATAAAATTAACACGTGGTCTTTCGATTCTGACTTTGATTTCTGCAGTGTGTACTTTTTTACTCTTTCGATCTGCTGCCCCTCTACTATCAAGATTTCGTTAGTATTATGGTTGTTTTTACAAATTTTCATAAACTTCGTCTTTTTGACATTGAGCGACAGTCCGTACTCCCTACTACACATTACTATTTTACTTATGAGTCTTTCCAGATCTTGTAAACTATCCGGTATTATTACTGTATCATCTGCATATCTGATGTTGATAACTAAGACTCCATTAACTCTTATACCGTCTGTTTCATCTTCCAGAGTTTCTCGAATTAGCTCCTCAGAATAAGCGTTAAATAATAGAGGTGATAGTATGCAGCCTTGCCTGACTGCTCTCTTTATTTACATTTCTTCAAATGTCTCTTTTTCAATTTGTACTGTTGCCTGCTTATTTCAATAAAGGTTTGTTATTAGCCTTAAATCTTTTTCATCTAGGTTTTTATTTTTTAGAATTTCCATGAGTCGATCATGTTTTACTTTATCAAAACGCCCTATTGTAGTCTCTAAAACAGACGTAAAGAGGACGGCTAACATCCAAACATCCCTGTATCAGCACGTTGAAGGAGAATAATGCCTCTCTGGTATCCATACTATTGCGGAACCCATATTGTGTCACTAATATCCAGCTCCAGTTTAGAGTGAATTATGGCGTGGATAATTTTCAACACAATTTTCAAGGTATGTGACATTAAGGTTATAGTTCGATAGTCATGGCATTCACTTTCTTTGGCAAACACACAAATGCTGATGTCAACAGTTCTCTAGAGATGATTCCCGTAGTATAGATAGCATTGAACAATTCTACTATTATGTCCAGGTTTTTCTTGTTGATCAGCTTTAATAGCTCACTTGGTAATTCATCTGGACCAGCAGATTTATTGGTTCTTATTGAGTTTAATGCCTGACTAACCTCTGATTTGGTTATCTCTGGACCTACATGTCCCGTTTAGCTATCTACAGATGTATTAGCTTCTCTCTGGTCATGAAATAATTCCTCGATATACTCTTTCCATTGTCGTAGTTTTTGTTCTGTCTCCAATATAATATTTCCATTTTTGTCGAGAAATATATTTAGGATTCTTATATTTCCTACTTCGGCTAGTTCTTTAACTTTTTTATGTAGATTAAAGTTGTTATATATTTTGCAGTTTCTTCTATTTCTTTACATTTTCCAGACAAGTAGTTTTCTTTAGCCTTCCTAATTTTTTCTTTTTATTTGGTTTTGAAGCTATTTATAGCGGATCATATTGATCGTTTTGTTTTTCTTCTTTCATTCATTAGCTCTAGAATTTCCTCGGTCATTTACTCTTTTTTCTTACATTTGGTTGTTGTAAGTACTTTCTTACTTAGCTCCAATATAGAGGTTTTGAAGAATTGCCACTGCTGCTCTATGTTGCAATTATTTCTTGGGTTTCTATCTAGATTTGTGTTGATTTCGTGTTTCAGATTTTCTTTTATTTCTTCTGACTTTAGTTTCTGTATGTTAAGTTTATTGTTGTTGCGGCGTTTTTGCGTCTTTTTTAGTTGAAGTTGAAACCTAGCAATAAAAAGACTGTGATCAGAGGATATGTCTGCTCCTAGATATGACTTTACTGCCTGGATTGAGTTTCGATATCTGTGTTTTATTAGAATGTAGTCAATTTGATTTCTGACGATTTTGTTCTCTTTGTCAGCTGACGATTTCCATGTATAAAGGCGTCGCTTTGGTAATTTAAAAAATGTATTTGCGGCTATTTATGCTCCTGGCAAAATTGTATTAGGCGATCTCCTCTGTCGTTTCGTTCACCAAGCCCATATGGTTCTACATTAGGGTAGCATTTTCCTTCG